TGCCCCTATGATTCTTGATGCCCTGCAAAACAAAAGACCTCTTCAAGGAGATGGGGCAGGGAAAGTACGTTATTTCATCGTTTGTAATGTATAGATCTGGCTGAACGGAAAACTAAGGTAACCATTGTCCTTTATTTCCAGGTCCACATTGGCAACAATGTCTATATTTTGGAAACGTCATGGGATGAGTTGGTTGCTCCATCGACTCACAAAATTTCAATAGCAATCAAGAATTTAGTCGGCGCTATCTGGACAGTTAAGGAGGGGGGCAAACTTAGTGTTACTGGAGGCAAAAGTCCCAAGACTCAGACCGCTGATAAACCCGCTGTACCTCTTGGCATTTTGGAAGCAGTTTTTGGCAAGTGTTCATCAAGCCTAAATATATTACATAACTGAATTTTAACTTCTGAAACTTTTGTCTCACATATAATTTCTCTGTCACTCCAGATGTATACAGAGCCAAAATGATGCTTCAGGGCGTTCATAACAAGGTAGGTTTACGCCAGACCGCGTCTTGTCGTAACAGGCTTCGCGCTGTCTCGCTGCCTGTTTCTCCAATCCGCGCCTGGCGTACCTACCTTGGCCTGCGGCACTAGCCTGCCTGCGGCAGGCAATGGCTTGTCCATTGTCGGTTATTTTTTATTAACTTGTTGCATGCTGGGGGGCTCCGCCCCCCAGACCCCCCTACATTCTAAATAGAGTTGTTTTTATCTACAGATAACACGATCTTGACCCTTGTCACTTTTTAACTTGTCGAGGCTGGGGGGCTGCGCCCCCTAGACCCCCCTTCCTCCAAGACAGAAGTGATCAATCTGCAGAAAACTCGATTTTTCGCCGTTTGTTAGGTGTTTTTCGGCTATAAAAACTGAACCAGTTGAGCTAGGGTAGTGAAATTTCGCGTGTGCGGAGCCAAGGACATACCCAAAGAGTGTGCAAAATCTCACCGAGATCGGCCGAGCCGTTCAGGAGGAGTAGTGCGGACACACACGCACGCACGCACGCAGACAGGAAAAACTTTTCAACCCCACCTGAGTAACGGGCTTCGCTATCGCTCAGCCAATAATGAAATTCTAGATATGAGTGTAAACGAGAGTGCTAGAAAATATGTGCGGGAAAAGCTGTCTGAAATGGGGGTAAGTAATCCTTCTTCACCCCTTTTAATACTGAGCTGATTTTAGTCCCAGCTTAACTACTTTTCTTCTTCACAGAAAACTCTGGCAAGAGAAGAAGCCAAAATAAAGGAACTCAAGGAGAAAGCAGAAGAAGCCAAACGGGCACTCAAGGAGAAGAGAGATAGGGAGGAGACTAACTCAAGATTTGTTTTCCAAGGATTGTACTTAGCATTCTGTTACTAAGTGCACAGTTTTCTATTTGCCCGGACTTAATATTTTGAATCATAAGTTTCATTACAATTGTTTTCAAGGATTGTACTCAGCATTCTTTTACTAAGTGGACAGTGTTTTATTTGTCCAGACTTAATTCTTTGAATTATAAGTTTAATTAGATTTGTTTTCCAAGGGTTGTACTAAGCATTCTATTACTAGGTGAACAGTATTTTATTAGATTTTTATTAGATTTAACTTTTTGAATTATAAGTTTCATTGCATTGAAAATTATCTTCTTTTTTTCACCATTTCTCACATTGTTGTCAATGTTACATTTGCCAGCATTGGATGCTGCTGAAAGCACGGCGCTGCCAGAGGCGTCAGAGTTCTGCCAGACTTAGGGCGGCCTGGGCACCGCGGGGTAGCAAAGGCGTTTTGTTTCCAGGAGAATCACTGCGGGCACCTGCCTGTTGACGAGGGCGTCGGCAACAAGTTTTGATCGACATGGTGCACGTCGCCATGGTGCTGGCCGCTGGCCGTCATGGCGCTGATCGCTATGGTGCTGGCCGCCATGGAGCTAATCGCCATGGTGCACGCCGCCATGGTGCACAACCCCATGGGTCGGGAGTGACCGTTGAATCACCTTGGGCATTTCTCCATGGTTACGACCTCCTGACCATGGCGAACCATGAGTCCCTATGGTTCGTCTGCCCCATGGAGCGGCTCATGGTTTTTTTGGCTGAGCGATAGCGAAGCCTGTTACTCCAGTGGGGTTGAAAAGTTTTTCATGTCTGTCTGTCTGTCTGTGTGTGTGTCTGTGTGTCCGCACTACTCCTCCTAAACGGCTCGGCCGATTCTACTGAGATTTTGCAGGGTCATTGGGCATATCCTTGGCTCGCCACACACCAAAATTCAGCTTTCTATCTCAATCCATTCGGTCATATTAGCCGAAAAACACTTTAAAAACGGCAGGAAAAAGACAACTTTTTTGGAACTTTCAACTTTTTGTCAAATTCAATGTCGTTATAAATATTTTTGAGGCTGCTGATGACGAAAATAGAACCCATTCAGACCTCCGACCGAAAGTTTAGCCCCATTAGTGAAGATTTTGATGACCAAATGCTCTTTTTGAGGGAATCACGCCCATTTCCACGGTCTGCCAAGGAAGGCAGCCTGCCGAAGGCAGGTTAGCGCCGCAGGCCAAGGTAGGTGTATACGCCAGGCGTGGATTGTCGAAACTGGCGCAGCATCGCGAAGCCTGTTACGACAAGACACAGTCTGGCGTACACCTACCTTGTTTTAGTCTGGGTCATAGGTCGAGATAAAAAGCTGAATTTTTGTGTGTGGCGACACAGAGACAGACAGAAATAACTTTTCAACCCCACTGGAGTAACAGGCTTCGCCAAGGCTTCGCCATCGCTCAGCCAATTAAAAGGTGTCTACTCGATTTGCCTCGTGAAGCCAAACATCATATAATTAAAATTTTGTTACAGGCAGGTTTAAGTAATGCCAATTTTCGACAGGAGCTGAAGAATATTATTGTCCATCGTATGGAGATCTCGGGGTAGCGAGCAGTTTCCACATAAACTTGTATAACTGAACGAAATGGAGTTGGTGGCTCTGACTCTGACAATTTCTTTCAGAAAGGAACTTCGTGCCTAACAATGTGCTGTCCCTTCCAGCCTGCGTCGAAACACGTGACCTGCACTCTAAATGTCTTACGAAGAAATTTCCCATAATACGAAGGAAATGGCGCGAGCATAATACGAAGGTGGTTTTTCTTCGTATTACGAAAGTTTTTCTTTGTATCTTACAATGAAAAAGCTAAAAAGATTCGTATTGCGATGGAATATTGCTTCGTATTATGCTTGCGCCGAATTCACAGTAACATACGAATAACTAAGGTCAAATTTCACTGTAAGACATTTACAGTGTGGAACAAGGTTACAGCATATTGTTGTCGAACACTGAATTTCGCTTACGTGCACACATGCACACTAAATTCTTATGGACTTTTCTATGCATAGTTATGCATGCACAGATACGTCCATATGTTATGTATAATATTATGCATCACTGCGTACATTTTATGCAGGAAGATGCATAAAATGTACACAGTGATGCATAATTTTATACATAACTTGTGGACGTTTCTGCGCATGCATAAGTATGCATAAAAAATGCGTCCTTATGCATTTAAAAAGTCCATAAGAATTAAGTGCGTGTTTAAGCGAAATTCAGTGTTCGACAACAATATGCTGTAACCTTAGGCGGGAACTCAGGGCGCTGCAGAGCCGGCGAGGTGATGTTTGCGACTGATGGCAGACCTGCCGGCGTGCTCGGGACCATCAATCATTCACTTAGAATGTCACGCCCCGCGGAACCTCCCGCCCCACCCACTCCCGCTCTCTCCCACGCTGGACAGCGCGTTCGGCGCGCGCAGAGACGGCTGGAGTTGTTCCACGTGTAGAGGTTTGCTCAGCAAAAACGAAACAAACTTTCATATAATATATCCGGCACGTGTGCTGTCCCGCGGTCGATCTACAATTTTGCAGGGTATGTCTGATCCTACTTCGCGAAGCAGATGTGCAAGGTGCTATGGGATTCATGAGGGACGAAGAATGTAACATTTGTGACTGGTTTAATGTAAGAAATGCATCTTCTGGTGATGCAGAAAAAGAAACAAACCGATACAAACAGCAAGCGGCGGGTCACACTGATTTAACTCGTTAGCTGCCTACTTGTATCACTAACAAAGCTGGGCACAAATTTGGTCCTGAAGAGTTACTCATGTCAAATGAAAGATCATTCTTTGTTAAGGTACTTTAAGCATACCATCAAGCTGTCAATAAAAAGAGAAAGCAAGTGACACAGGAAACACATTTGTGACCCCAAAGAATTTTGAAGTGTACCATATTTTGAACTTAACAAAACAGACAATCAAAATGCATTTTTAAAAAATCAAGCTGATGGACGATAGTCAACTTATGTTACGAGTCTAACCTAAGCATTGTAAGCTCGGGAGGAACTGTTAACTGGTTCCATACTATAACGGAACAAAAATTTAGACTGGCTACTTTCCCTAAAGGAAAATCCAGTAAAATTAGTTAATTGTTCATTGACTTATCCTATTAACCTAACTTACGTCCTTATCATGGTATCGTGAAAAACTGTTGAACATAAAAGCTATGGGAGTATACAAAACGAAAAAAGGCTAAGATCTAAAAGGCAGTGTCTTGGATGAATAAAAAGAAAATTAAAAAATGACGCGGATTGAACAGGAGATAATCCGAACAGTTTAGGACTTCCAACTAGTCCTGATGGAATCATCCAACAACTCACGAAATTGAGTCAAAAGCGTCCCACTCCACTTTGATGCAGAAAGTAATTAAAAACAGCGACCTGCCAAGCGTCAAATACCTCTAAAACAACAGAGCGAAATGAAAGGCGCTCAAAGGGAAATGAATCAGTAGTAGTCCTCGCCGTCTTCCGAGCCTTCCCCCAAGTTAGCATAGTAGACCTCGACGTTGACGCAGGCGAAGCACCTGCAGGGCCCCGACAAGCGGAACATGCTGGCGAGGAAGTTGAAGCCGCCGCCGTGGCCGCCGTACTGCGGGCCCGGCTCGTCCCTGGACGCGAAGCGCGGCCTGTCCGGCGCGCGCGCGCATGCCTTGTCGCACGGGCTGCACACCACGGCCAGGCGCACGGCCTTGGCGTCGCGCAGGGAGGCGCGCAGCGCGGCGCAGGGGGCCTGGGCGTGGCCGCGGGTGCTGCAAGCAGACGGACACGCATTGTCGATGTTCGTAAAACAATGAGGCACGTACCGTCACAAATTAGAGCACGAGAAAATTTTCGAACCAAGGTTAATAAAAATGCGCTAAACCGTGCACGAAATTTCATTTCGCTGTCTTAATATTTAAAACAATGTAATGGAAGATGACTTTTAGAACGTGTTAATGAGAAGTGATACTCTTCTTAACATTGCATTTCAGAACTTTGCTAACTTAGCAATGCTAAGAGTGTGGGCGACCGCGCCTAGGAAAAGTTATGCTCGACAGATACCTTAACAAGCGCGTGCCCTTCCCAGTGGCTCCCCAGCGTCACGTAAAAATCTATATACGTCATTTTTTATCGTAATGGAGTATTATAGTTCGTTTCCACCCCCCAGAAGGCCCCCCGCGACCTTTTTGAAAAATGGATTTATTCGCCCTAAAACAGGATTTTAAACTACTGGTCCCGCCCCCCCCCCCCCAAAAAAAAAAAAATATTTAAATTTTATTGAAATTTGAAAAATGATAATAGAAGATATAAAAGTTATATTTTCCTAGAATTTGTTACAAGTGTGACATTACATAAATGGTAATCACCACAGCCATTTTAGAAAGCTTCACTCCGAACATTGGTTTATCATAATTTTAGAAAGAAATGTATGGTTAGAAATCCTATTGGCATTCGCTGAAAAATGTCGTACTTTGGAAGAGGATATGTAGAGAAGAATGGATAACGGAAGTACGTTACACAGTCAGGGACGTCCATACTCTCCACATGAACTCATGTTAATCGATATTAAAATCAAGTAAGGCGGGGTCGTGGGAGCAAGCACTGACCGCAAAGGCTAAGTTTTTGGCGCAACCAACTCGTTTTAATGCAAACTTTTAACGAAACGCATACACTTCCTCATTCCTAAGTCAAATTGGATTTCGCCTCGACACGACAAATTGCGTGCGCCACGCAAGAATGAAGAACAAACTGAGAAACTTGGAATTCGCGTTGGGACTGAAAAGGCAGCCAAACAAGGGCGTACAGTCCGAAAAGCCCGTGGATGACACATACCCGATGAAGGCGAGGTACTCCAGGGCCTTTCCCTCGAGCAGCTCCCGGAGCTGGCCTTCGTCGGCGGCAGGGTCCACTTTCACCATGAGGCGCTGCAGTCGGGGGCACTGCCGCAGCGCCGCCACGGGGAAGCAGTGCGCCCCCACCTCCTCCAAGGTGGCCGCGTTGGCCAGAACCAGCGACTCCACGGCAGCAGGACCAACCTGCAACGGGGCATGAGGGACATTCCATGTGAAGTCAACCAGGCCTTAGCCACCATGGGCTCCGATCCGGTTCTCGTTTTCAGGGTTTGTTACCCCTATGGTCCCATGAAATAATCGATACTTGGTTTGGGGTCCGCCCCCCCAAGGGCTGCACTATGGCCAATTTACTTTTATGCTAAATATTGGAACAACGCAACTTTGGAGGGCAATATCTCAGCAACCATTGATCGTAGGTCAATTAGGTGACTTAAACTATGTCAGCGGTGAGTAAGAGTAAAGTGAGTTTCCACTCCATTCCGTCAAGCTTTTTGCCTACTTACAGGGGTTTCACCTTTAATTTAAGTGAGAGTAGAGTGAGTGTAGGCTAAATGCGTACAAAGAGTGCAAGACCACTGTATGTATATCTAAAGGTGATACATTTGGTGTCTTTTTTGGCGATACAATTTAGTATCGCGAACAAATGGCCTTACCGAAACGTCTTGCCTTCAAAATGGTGTATCGCACGACGAAACTTTGAAGTATCGACACGATTTAGCGATAATCGTTAGACAAATCAAGCGGGACTGGTTCTTTGTTTATTGCCATACTTTGGCGATACTCAAAGGTGTATACGTTTTGAAGGCAAGATTTTTCCGCTAGGCCGTTTGTTGGCGATACTCCCGGGTGGAAGGATCTGCAGTGAACCTTAGTTCAAACTGTAGTATGGAAACTGCAGTTGCAGAACTACAGTTCATTCTTACTTTTACACCCAGATTTATCTTTGAATTGAGAGAGAACCGCACTGCAGGAAATAACCACAGCAAAAGTACACAAATCTCTGGCAAATTTTTTATCAGGTATGTAGTGTACTTATCAAGTACAACAATTGTTGTACAAAGTACAATGGAACCGGCATGAGGAGTGCTGTGCAGTCCAGGGCTCGTTATAGTTTGTACAATTCTCGTTGTACTTTCTACAATCCCTGTTGTACTTTTATTGTACAGTTTCTGTTGTACTTTCATCGTACTATCTACACTTTTTCTTGCAGTGTGGCAGGAACACACAACGTTAAATCGTGTACAAAATGAACGAATTTTGCTCCCTTTAAACTTGAGAGTACACTGAGTACGGGCCAATATGTACACATAAGTACACGAGTGATTCACCCCTTGACTCACCCCTGGGACTCACCCCCGCACCAGCTTCTGGAGCGTGCCCTTGGTATTCTTGGGCACGGCCGGCACGCAGTACGGCTGCGGCGATGCGCCCCTCGAGCGTCTCGACTGGTACTTCTCCTGGGTCTCGTCCCGCTCGTACGACACGGCCAGGCCGCTCAGGCGCGGCAGGGCCAGCGCGGTCTGGAGGGCGTCCACGGTCGGGTTCAGCAGCGTCAGGTCCCGCAGCGTGTCCTTCTGGCGGAGAATGTACTTGGCCGTCCACTTGAGCTGCCCATTCAGCTCCGCGGACCTCACCTGAGCGCACAGATTAGACAGGACATGAAATTTCAGTCTTTCCATCCCCCTCCCGCCCAATACAGTGCAAAGTTTATAGAGACTGCACTGCAAGATCATGTGTGTGCTTAGTACAAGCTATGGAAGTGTGCTTGACTACACTCTCAGACCTATATGGACTTTTTTCTCTCTTGCTTATTGCGTTTTTTGAGCAAACGTAAAATGTACTATTTTCTTCTTAACTATGCACAATTTTGATCGGAATATAGATAAAATTATCAATAGATCATGTAGAAATTGAAACGTACATTGCAAATAACAAAAAGTCCGGTTTAATGGACTAAATGCATAATACAATGAACAAAATAGTGCATAGCTAAAGAAAAAATAATACATATTACGTTTGCACGAAAACCTTTATGGCAAAAGAGAAGAAGTGAGTACGAGTGTGTGAGTGGGCGTACCTCGCAGGCCGACTGGGTGGCGATGGCCTTCTTGGCGGCCGGCCGGAGCGACTTGGCGCAGCTCACGTGCTCCAGGCAAGGGGCGAAGCGGATGGTCCGCGCGAACTGCCGCGCCCCCGCGTGCCAGTCCCCCCTCGGGTTGCGGGCCGCCGGCAGGTCGTAGGACAGGCGCCTCCCGCGCCACACCGAGCGCTGGAACCACACAGGCGAGCGTTCTATAGAAAGCAGATAACTACACTGTGGCAAAAAGCTAAGGAAAATTCTGTAAACAGCTTGTGGTAGTTCTCCGTAGCCCCCTTGCTGGTATTCTACGTAAGCTCTTACAGTATTTTCCGTAGGACCTTACAGTGATCTCCGTACACTCTCAGACTCGTATTGACTTTTTATCTCTTGCCATAAAGGTTTTTGTGCAAGCGTAATATGTACTATTTTCTTTTTAGCTATGCACTATTTTGTTCATTGTATAATGTATTTAGTCCATTAAACCGGATTTTTTGTCATTTGCAATGTACTTTTCAATTTCTGCATGATCTATTGACAATTTTATCTTTATTTCTATCAAAATTGTGCATAGTTAAGGAGAAAATAGTACATTTTACGTTTGCTCAAAAAACGCAACAAGCAAGAGAGAAAAAAGTCCACGTAGGTCTGAAAGTGTAGGACTATACAGTCTTCCACGTCCTACGGAGAAGACAAGTGTCAGCAAGAGCATACGGAGTACATTGTTAAGAGGGCTGCGGAAAATCCTGCCATAAAAAAAAATAACAGTATTTTCCGTACCCTTTGGCATGGAATCCCACATACTGTATACAATACTAAGTTCGCGAACACAACTTTGACATCAAGTGAAAAACTGCTCCCGCAGTAAAGGCCCAGCAATCAGTTATTTCCGTGCAACAGCGATTCACGTAATACACGGTGAAAACGCCCCGAAGAAGCCCATGGTAGAGACATGGGTGATTTCCAGGGAGTTTCTGGAAAAACCAGGAACCGTTCACACTAAATTACTATGTAGGTTTTTCTGCGTGCTAATGCACGAAATTGTACATGCACTTCCAAACGCACGAATTTGTGCGCGACAATGCACGATTTCCTGCATACTTGCGCACGAAATCGTGCATTATCGCGCACAAATTCGTGCGTTCGGAAGTGCATGTACAATTTCGTGCATTAGCGCGCAGAAAAACCTACATAGTAATTTAGTGTGATTTTTACTGCGCAATGCCGCCTTCCAAGCCAAGGGAATCCCTTACTTTAATTTAAAAGGGGTTGAGAGCGCTCAACAGATTTGAATTCGTCTCCAAATGACAAACAAAACTAAAAATGTCAACTCATTGGTTAAGATGGGAAATAAAAAAAATGATTTAACTACGAAAGCACTGAAGAATCACACTAAATGTTCATGTACAATTTTGTACGTGGTGATGCATAATTTTAAACCTGCGTACCGTCGTGCATAAAATTGTGCGTGAATTTGAATAAATTCATGCATTTTCACGCATGATATTATGCATATTCCACGCATGCACAAAATCGTGCGGGTTGCACGCACAAAATTCTACCTAAGCATTTAGTGTGAAGGAGAAATAGACTTTGGATTTTATGGCTACACTTTCATCGCACAGTTCGCTCCCGAAAATCGGCTGAAAGGAGAAATTAAATTTACTATCCGCACCAGGGAAACCGTCTGAACCACGAGGCCGCTGCACAAGAACAAACGTATGCCAGTGAATAAAGGCAGCACCGCGGTGCGTCAGAGCGAGGCGTCGGGAGACAGGTCTGCCCTTTCATCCTACAGAATTTCATGCATGAGTAAGGGACCGACTGAAGTGGTCGTCAGTGCAGAAGTATTTGCTTGGAAAGCTTATGCCTTACTCTCTTAGCACGTTACTGACTTCATGCTCATTTTGACAGTGCTCATGCTAGTAATTTGTGCATCCATGGTACATATCTTTCCTTTCGATGCAGAACTACTTAGGAAATATTAATCAATGTATTGACAATTTGGTTTTGTACATAATTTTACAAAGGACATTGGTCAGACTTACTTAGAAAATACTAAGTGTTATAGTTGCTAACACGAATATGAAATTAATGAGAAAAAAGTCACTAACATGCTGAGAGTGTACTTGATATACTTTTAACCAGGTACTTTAGGTTGAAAGGCCTAGAAAAGTTCGTAAGGTTTCGAGAGCGCACGAAATAGCACATGCACGTGGTTTACAACCGGAAATACACCCACACGTTAACGGAAAATGGAAGACCTATGGTTTGTTGAGCGAAACTTACGTCCTTCGCCGCAGCCCGCCAGAGGCGAGAACCGCACTGTCCGGCCGAAATGACGTCCTCGTTGGCCATCAAACTGAACGTCTTGAGGAGCACTGGGTGCGGCAGGGCGCTCCAGCCTGTGGGGAGCTGAAAAGTGCCGGGGTGAATGGGACAGCCTGACCACCGGGAACAACGCACAGTGGGCCAGATGCTCTTGTTCTCTCCAGAGAAAACAAGAGAGGTCGGCCCAGCGGGAAATCACTGTGAATTTCGGTGAACAAATCCAATGAATTTCAGTCGCATTTCAATGAATTTCAGCCCAATTTCGATGAATTTCAGTCGAAATTTGATGAATTTAAGTCGCATTTCAATGAATTTCAATCGAATTTCGATACATTTTGATGAATTTCAGTGAACTTTTCAAGTTTGATGAATTTTGGTGTACAAATTTAGCTGGAGTTATTTCTCCTTGGTCGGCCCAGTGGGCTGAATCAAAGGCGTCTCAAAACATAGCGCCTGAGGCGGCTCGTAATAGAGCACCCGCAGGCGACTCCTGGCGACACGCCTGAAGGCGCTACTAAAACTTAGCTCAGCGTCCAAAGGCGCTACAAGCTGAGGCAAGCGTCCAAAGGCGCTTAGACGCTACAAACATTAAGGTAACAGTAAAAAACACTACTTTCCAAGCACTCCTGAATAACACCTGACACCTTACCCTACTGCATAACCTACTACCAGATAGACCTCACGGGACATTCTTATAACATGAAAAGTAGCGACATACATCGGCAACTTTGGCCCGTCCCGTACACCGTACATTAAGAAATGTGTGAATTTCGCCTATGTTTAACCCTGACGGGATTTGAACCTAAGTCTGGGGTCAAAATAGATGCTATTTTCGTCATCAGCACCCTCAAAAACATAAAAAACAATGCAAAAACTCGAATAAAAAGAATGTTCAAAATGTACCCCACTGGGATTTGAACCCGGGCACCGTTGGTTTTGTCTTATCGCTTTGATTCCAAAAACACCCCTACATGCCCGTCTAGCTGTATCCGTTGCCGAAATCCTCCTCGACCCCATGTAGACCATGATGCACCTGCAGCAGCGCCCCCGGGGCTCTTATCGGATTTGCTGCCACCGGGCGGTTCTTAGGGTTACCCAAGGAGGCTGCATACCAAATTTGGTCAAGATCGGACCACAGGAAGTCCTCGGACGGACGGACGGACGGACGCACAGCGTGCATGATACTCTGTCTTACAATGAAATTTGACCTATGTTATTCGTCTGTTACAGTGAATTCGGCGCAAGCATAATACGAAGCAATATTCCTTCGTAGTACGAATCTTTTTAGCTTTTCCATTGTAACCTAACCTTCGTAATACGACGGGACGGGCCAAAAATGAGATCACGTGACGCAAGATCCACTTTGAATACGATGTGGCAAGTTTCGTTCTTATAAATGGGGATGAGGAGGGGGCACGAGACGAGACAGTAAAGGTATACGGGGACAGGTAGGCTATTGTGACCAAAATCCCAAACGGGGTACTACGCTGCGCAATAACTTACCTCACCAGCAGCCACATCTACCTCCGACGATCGGCTCTTCGGTTTGCCGGTCGTGGCCTTCGCACCGCCGGTGCCTTTCTTCGGAGTCCGCCGACGTTTGGGCCCCGCGGAGCTGCTGGGGGCCTCGAAGTCGGGGTCCTCGGTGGCGCCGCGGCGGCCTCGCTTTCGCCTGGGCGGCGCGTCGCTCGAGGAGTCGCTGAGGAGCACCACGTCCTCCTGGGACGGCCGGCCAGACCCTGCAGAAGATGCCGGACGTCACACTACACCGGTTAAACTTAAGCGTAACTCTATGCTTGAGTCAAGCATAAAGTTACGCTTGAAAACGTTACACCGGTAAAACTGAAGCGTAGTTGTATGCTTGATTCAAGCATACAACTACGCTTGAAGACTTTACGCTTGGCGTCAAGCGTAGAGAAGAAATTCTCCCATGCATTTAGATAGGCGGGAGAGGAGCGAAATGGAGAACTACGCTTCAAGCCGAGCGTAGTTCTACTGCGCTTGAAGAAAGGCGTAAAACTACGCTTGAGTTCCACCAGTGTACGCTTGAAATGAAGCATACTCTGGAAATTCCCCAATGCATTTTTATAGGGGGAATCTTGGCGGATGAGCCTGTTGCGCTCGATTTCAAGCGTAACTGATTACGCTTGGAAACAGAGGGTAATACTACGCTTTGGTATTACCAGTGCACACTCAGGAAGAGCCACACTGAAAAGTAAACGGACGGAATTCATTCCATCCTAGGGGAAAGAAACAAAGTCTCGCCATTCTGTGGCGAGAAACAAAAGTCTCACCTTTTTTTTTGGCGAGAGTCAAAAGTCTCGCCATTTTTTGACGAGAAACAAATGTCTCGCCAAAATATGGCAATAATTGCAACCCCACTCTATTGGATTGGATACCGGGAAATATGACCCAGTCAATTATTGCCATATTTTGGCGAGACATTTGTTTCTCGCTAAAAAATGGTGAGACTTTTGTTTCTCGCCAAAACAATGGTGAGACTTTTTTGTCTCACCAAATTTTGGCCAGCAGTCTCGCCATTCAATTTTCAGTGCACTTTTGTTCCAGGAACATAACATGGCGTTGGAACGAATGTGAAAAAATCCATTGAGCATTGTGTCTTCTTCGTTTTAATATGAATAAGCTAGCTTATGGCCAATTCGCATCCAAACGAATGTGACACGACGCTCTAAGGAGCGTGGCATTTTGTCACATCAGTTTCAAGGTGACGTCACGTTCCACGGACGAGAGTGATAGCGACACTGAAAATTGAATGGCGAGACTGCTGGCCAAAATTTGGTGAGACAAAAACTCTAGAAACTGAAGAGAGTGCATGGCATGCTCTTCCTAGGAGTCAACCACAAAGCCAACTCTTCCCAAGAGCATGCTTGCAAGCCGACTCTTCCCAGGAGCATGCCTGCAAGCAAGGAGAGTGCTTGCGATCATGCTCCTGGGAAGAGTGTGCTTGCCAAGCATGCTCCTGGGAAGAGTCGGCTTGCAAGCATGCTCTTGGGAAGAGTCGGCTTTGTGGTTGACTCCTGGGAAGAGCATGCCACGCACTCTCTTCAGTTTCTAGAGAAAGTCTCACCGTTCTGCGGCGAGAAACTCAAGTGTCACTATTTTTTTTTGACGAGAAACAAAAGTCTCACCATTTTTTAGCGAGAAACAAATGTCTCGCCAAAATATGGCAAAAATTGACTGGGTCATATTTTCCGGTATCCAATAGAGTGGGGTTGCAATTATTGCCACATTTTGGCGAGACTTTTTTTTCTCGCCAAAAAATAGTGAGACTTTTGATTCTCGCCAAAAAAAAATGGTGAGACTTTTGTTTCTCGCCACAGAATGGCGAGACTTTGTTTCTTTCCCCTAGGATGGAATGAATTCCGTCCGTAGACTTTTCAGTGATGTAACTGCCATCTTTTACTTATGACAATACATTTGGGGGAGGGGGCAAAGGGCAATGCACAGTGGATCTTTATCCAGGTGAATATTGCAAAGCATAGGGAGTCTTTGTTCAGGTGAATAGCAAGTCAAAACATTTTCTCCAACTCACCGCTACTCGACGGACCATCCATGTTGATGCTGCAGAAGTACTGTTCCGGAAGTCTAGGGCAATCCAACCACCTGCTCAAGTCTAGCCAGCGTCAAGTTGAGTAGCTGCACAGAATAAAATTTGGCGGCTGCGGTCTCCAACCCTGGCAAAAAATAGAATTTTCCGTAAGGAATTGATAAATAAACTAAGAAATCCACCGTCACAAATAGCATTTGATTCGATTCACGAGGCAATTCTGCCAATTCCTGGTTAGTTATGAAGCTTATGCTTCGCAAGAGAGTGCTGCACTGAGAATCCAAACGCTTAGAGTATAGCGTCAATTGGTGCAATGCAAAAGCATTACACATAAAGTGCAATGCCTCCTCCCCATTCCTATGCAATAGCATAAAGGCCTTTTCGGGACGCATTGCACGTAAGGTGCAATATGGCTATCGCACTGCGCCATACGTGCTATTCTCATAGCGTGGTTGTTCGGTAAAAGATTTGCTCCGCAGCACTGCTACGGAAATTATTTACCGAACAACCACGGACCAAAGAGAAATGTGACCTCCGCGAGCCGCAACAGGGCTGGGACTCGTTAGACCGGTGGAGCATTTCAGTCAACCCTAGCCCGGAAGTCGACATGTTGGCGGGAGCAGACTATGACGTCGCAGAGGCAGAGTCTGCGCAGACGCGGTTTTAGTGCTTTCGTAAGTTCGTTGATTTCCGCTTCCGGAATTTGTTACAATATTCTACAGAAGTAGAGTCCTTCGGAGTAATCTTAGACCGGAAGTCAAGGACCGAACGGCAGAAACAAAAGAGCCGCGCGGCTGTGCTGAGCGGTGGTGGGGGAAGGCGGCGGGCGCAAGCTGTTAGTTAAACCCTACTCTGCCCATCGCGGCCCCCACCACCACTCAGCACGGCCTCGCGACGCTCTTTTACTTCTCCCGTACTGTCACTGACTGCCGGTCTGGACTTCCGCCGAAGTACACTTTTCAGCATGTGAAGTAGATTTGGGCAAAGGAATAAAGCAAACTTGTTAACCGCTACGTACTCCCTTATAACCCCGTTTCCGGATTCGTGGATCATTTGAAATTCAGCTAGCGACTACAGTAGTCCGTAGGATATTTTGACGAATCCGTGGACCGGAAGTCAAAGCACAAAAGTAGAAAATGACTCACTTTTGTTCTTTGACTTCCGGTCTAGGGATTCGTTAAAATACCATTGCTCTGACCGGGTGTCCTCTGTTTACGTCAATCTTTTCGCGGATGACCTTTGACCGTGGGAGAGATTGAAAATCATCATAGTACACGGTACAAAATGTTCCTGGTTTTCCCAGAAACTCCCTGGTAATCGCCCATGCCTTCACCTTTGGCTTCCTGAGAAATCAAGGTTCCGTTTTACCGTGCATGGATGGAATGCCTTCCACTCCCGAAAAATACTGGATCAACTACTGCGTAACATCACGCCTCTTCTCAGCGTAACATGTTGCAATACGCGCCAACGCTCGTAACACTTCAGTCTTAACCTAACGTTGAAATGCAAATGGGCCACAATGTAAAGATTATACGTACCGGAGAGTCAGAAAAAAATCGACCGTAAGATCGGACACCAAACGATAGTAAATTTGGAAGCGGACGGAGAGTTCTGAACTGTAATCAGATTTCGATCAATTTCCAGGCTGTACGCTGGTCTTTCAGAGAAATTTGAGCCACGTTTTGAATTCGGCACAAGTATGATGCGAAGCAACATGTCCTGTTACGAATCATTTTACTAATAGAGATCTCCATAGAAGCTCTGGCCCGGAAGAAGAAGAACTAAAACGGAAGTAAGAAACTGCAATTTCTTACTTCCGTTTTTGTTCTTCTTCTTCCGGGCCAGAGCTTCTTTGGAGTACTCTATTTCAGTGTAGGATTCGATAAATAATCTTCCTTCAAGACTTTCGTTCCAAGGGATATCTTATCGTTAGACACTTAGAGAGTCGTTTCACCAGGGTAACTAAGGCGTCTGCTTCCGCTCAAGTATGCTCAGAAGAGTTTGAGGGCAAAGGTCACTCACCTATTCAAATTGTGCCTGCCAGGTTGGGGACGACTCGGCACCTCACTTCTGCCAACCAGCGAAACATGAAGGGGCGCGGCGGCAGGACGAGCCGAAACGACGGGGGAGCCGAGTGTCGCAACAATGGCACGACGCGGGGCCTGCCGGGGGGCTTATCCTAAACTACGTGGGTGGGTGGAAGTCTCCTCCTAGGCGGAGGAGGGAGGGAACCTGCGTACCCAGTTGACTCCGAATCACCATAAAGGAAAGACTCACCATAGAGGATGAAGCAATATATAAAGCGTCAATCAGCAGTACATTTTCCGGCGATACCATATAGTAGCGCCAACACCGGTGGGGCAATACACTGAAAATGGCCAAAAACTGACTTGTGCGATTGCTTCCATACGCGTTGTTGAGCGTTGTTCAAACTTTTCATGTGCCAAGACCTTACGAAAAGAAGCATTTTAAGCCCAGAATGGCATCGATCGGACGTCAGGGAGCGGAGCAGCGCCCCATCAAATTTTCGTCAAAAATCGAACTGGCGGGCGTCCCTCAGTCCGCAAAAATGAAGATATCTCGACCTCGTTTGCGCCAAAATGTAGGTAATTAAAGCGGCTATAGCGCAAACTAGGATTATGAACATCGAACAATCAAAAGTATAAAATTTTACGAAAAAACCTGTTTTGATCATTTTTGCAAAATCCTCAAAAAGTGTTTTTGGATGAAAGTGTCTAAAGCAAATACCAACAACATAAGATTAAAGAAAGACAATAAAAACAAGAGTAAGTTTCAAAAGGGGCAATCAGGAATTTCATTAAAAAAAGTATTACCTCTGTGTGTAGTTGTCTCAGCTTATGAAAACCAAAGATATGACTGCATCTTCCTCCAAAAGCAGCAATCATGCGCAGAGGACAGTAACCACGCTTCCACTCATCCTTCGCTAATGTAGCCCATTTGTGACTGGTTTGATACATCAACATGGCTATAAAAAAAAAAGTTTCTGAATGATAAAAAAGAATAGAACTAAAAATTTTCGACTGTCTGAAACTTACCACAACTCTAAAAACACTCTAAATGATGTTGAGTCAAATTTTGACATCAATTTCAAGCTGTTTTAAAACTTGCTTCCAATGCACACTGTTACAAAAATCCATCTTAATTTTAAGAAACTTTTTTATGAAGCAGTTTACAAAGACTTTTTGCTGGTAAAAGTAATAAACTTTTTCTTCTTAAAAGTAAGAACCAAATTTGAAAAGTAATAATCTGTTTCTTAAAAGTTGTTTTTGCATTTAAGAAGAATTTAATGTAGAGTAGGGAAAAATTGAACGCCACATGTACGTTATGAGTTACTCATTGTATGGTAGTAGTCGATTTCACTGCCGAAATTGCTTGGAAGCGTGGTTGAAAGTCGGTCTCAAACCCGGAATTCCGGATTACTGCACCGCGACGCTACCAACTGCGCCACGAGTGAGCTCTGCGAGGCGGGCCCTAGGATGTGGATGACTCCAAGCCTCTCGGCGGAGACTTCGCTAGGCAGCGGAAGCCCTCATCCAAGGGCCTCCAAACACGACTTCACATGACCAAGATCACACAAATTTGTTCTTTACGTACACTGGTAGTGAAGCGTCCAATGATCACAATTTTAACTGGCAAGATGAGATTCAAGTATAATAATTCATAGTAATTTTGAATTTTAAGAAACAAATTATTACATTTGGTAAACAATCTCAAATTTTATGAACCCGTTTTTCAATTTAAATAAAGTTTCTGAAAGTTACCAATATTTTCATTACTTGTCAGAAATGTTTTGGTCAAAGTAAGAAATTTTCTTAAACTTCACAAACCTTTATGAGTTTTCATATCCTTTCAAAAGGTTCTTAAAATTAAGATGACATTATGTATTAAATTTAAGAATTTTTTTAACAGTGCAGACATGCAGTGCAGTCATCTGTACTTGAAAATTCTCAATGCATCAGCAATTTCACAAACCAATAGCAGAACCTGTAAATTAAAAGACAAGAATGGATAAAAGAAAAATTTACAAAAAATTTTAAGTTGATGTATTTGTAACTGGGTTTAAACTCACCACAATTCTGAAAGCACTCTTAGTGATGTTGAATCAGTTTTGTCAATAATTTCAACCAGTCTTCAGATTGCATCAGATGTAGCATCCCATAAGGGTGCACAACAGACAAATGCATCTCATTCTGAAAACATTAAAACATCAGAAACAAAGTAACCCCCTTGGCATACTTCCAGTGCTGTAATAAAACATTGAACTATTATAAGATAAAAGGATGAAAAAGAATGAATATGTTTAACTGTATAACACTCACCGCAAATATCAAAGCACTCTTAATATGTTGAGTCAATAATAATAATAATTCCAAGCTGTTTTAAAAGTAGCTTCCAATGCAGGGACAGACTTTTCTGCTTGCACTTTCAATGCTATTCTGGTCACATGCTCATGCCTGAAAGCAGATAAGTCAGTTAGAATGGTAGAAGTGGACCAGCACCACACACCAAAACTCAGAACAGGAGAGTACTCACAAGTTCGATGACATAAATTAATTCTCCAGGTCATTGCAGTTTACATTGCAGTTCAATGATGATTTGGTGTTGCCTGTCAAGCTTCTTGATGTTAAAGGGTTCTCTCCTGAATCATTCCAGCACTTCAAATCAACTTGGCTAATAAAAAAAAATCCTGGAAAGGGCGGTGGCATTGTCAGTAGCGCATAAGATTTCCAGTTTATTTTGATGACAGAAGTGTCTTCATAAAATACCTAAAACATATGATAAAACAAAGATAGTGAAACAAAACTACTTTAAAAAGAAGGTGAGCACACATTCCATTCAGAAAAGTATTACAATTGTGTTTAGTTTCTCAACCTCTGAAAACCAACGATATGACTGCATCTCCCTCCGCAAGCAGCAATCATGCGCAGAGGAAAGTAACCACGCTTCAACTCATCCTTCCCTAATGCAGCCCATTTGTGACAGGTTTGATACATCAACAAGGCTGTAATAAAAGTATGCATGAGTTTCTAAGAGATGAAAACAAATAGAACAGAAAAATGTCAACTGCATAAGGCTTACTACAAATCTTAAAGCACTCTTAATGATGTTGATTCAAAATTTAAAATCAATTTCGAGCTGTTCTTAAACTTGCTTCCAATGCAGAGAGAGACTTCTCTCTTTGTAGTTTATAGGGTAATCTGGTCAGTTGCTCAAACCTGAAGTCAGACAAAATTGTTAGAATAGTAGAAGTGCTTCAACACTACACACCAATACTAATAAAACTACAAGGGAAAACTCACAAATTTGATTTAATTAATTAGTTCTCCAGGTTATTGTGGTTTAGGTTCTCTCCTAAATCATCCCAGCACTACAAGTCAATTACTCTTGTCATAGGAAATCCTGGAGAGGACGGTAGCATTGTCAGAACCGCATGAGATTGCCAGTTTCTTTTAGTGATAGAAGTGTCTTAATGTTATAGTGTAGCAGTGTAAGGGACTTGGAGGGAAAAGGGAAGTCAGGGGTCTCGTCGAGACGGAAGGCTCTGTATTATCAGTAGGTGACCGTGTACAGAATGGTAGCGGACGTCTGGCGACGCGCTCTTATATTACAGATGCAGAAGAACACACGGAAGAACAGTAGTGGAGAGTGGGGGTGCATGGCCAATGGTATTCAGCGGCCAGGGTATTAAGGGGAAGAACAAAAGGAAGAAAGGGTTGGAGGTCCTGGCCAGGATCACTAGGGCAGTGGTTAAAAAACAAGGGAATGACTGCAAGTAAGCCGTGCCTAGGTTATGTTCTCCATTGTTTCATATCATAACACCACTCCCTCCTGAACAAAAGAAACGAAGTTTCTTCAAAATTTTCCTCGTACCCTTCTTTTAGATCCTTCGAACTATTTAGCACTGACTTAAAAATTTTGATGCTTGGTTTGAAACTTTTAAAACTGTCTTCCCACTCTCTCACTTAATTTAACAATTTTGGCAAGTCTGATTAATTGTCCAATTTGATATTTTCTTGAATCTCCTTTCTTGAGTTTGGCGGCGGCTGCTCGTTGTCTTGATGTGATGCTTCAAAGGCTCGCTTCCCCATTACACCTTCTGGGTGCCAGGCGTTAGGGTGTCCAGTCCTAAGCCCGCGGGTCGGCTTGTTGTTAAAAAAAGAAAAATAAAGAATAGTTGGCCGTTAACATCTGAGACGCCAGGTGGACTCCATCTGCTCCAAACGGATGTTACAACCGTCGTCACGGTTTGCAACACCGCGTGAAGTTGGGGTGTTCCGCCTGTTGGCCAACCAAAGTTTGTGTTAGTTCTGGTGAAGGCTCCAACTGAAACAAACAGAAAAACACTCTACACAGTTTTCCGCTTTAAAGTATCCAACCCCTACTCTGTCTGGTTGGTTTGCCTGATGCCATCCTGACTATCTAGCTAATCCTATTCTAAAGGCACCTTGATATATCTAAGAAAGCTTAACTAACTGTTTATTAGTTCAAATACTTAACTCGTGCAGTGCGGCCAGGAGTTGTCGTGGGCCTCGTTCCCGACGGTAGACGTCAAGCCTCTCGTACCGGAAGTCCCAGCTGAGAAGGCAGCAAAGGCCCCGCGACGTTGGTTGTAGACGTTCTGGCAGTTGAGAGGCATCCTCTTTCGTAACACAGTCGTGTGTTCGAAGATTCTGCTCGTGAGTAGTTTGTTTCCGGTCCGCCGCTCGTTCCGCATTTGTCGTCGATGCGTGTGCATACTCTTTGCGTCGGGTAACAGTGCAGCGGCGATACCCCTTGCGCTGAGAGAGGCAGGCCGGCAGCGTTTCGACTGATCCCGAACATCTTGTCGGCGGAAGTTGGTGAGTACTATGGGCCTTCTACGTGATGGCATTTGGTGCATGCAACTGTTTGCAAACTAAGACTTCCGGTTTAACTCTCGACCTGTGTGCACCGTGTTTTTGCTGTGCTGTGCTTGCAGTTTCTTTCGTTCTTTTTTTTTTGATTGAAGATTTTCCATTTAACGTGGTCCCCGCGTTTGAAGTGTGATGTTGGCGTAAAGTTTGTTTTGTTTCGTACCATTTCGTTTCGTTAAACACTTGCTGCAGAAGCTGTCGAGCTATTTTCTTCACGGTTTTCCCGATCCTGCTTTGCATGTAGTATTGTTGTGGTCTAGGCCTAACCCCGTACTTGTTTGCTTAGTGGGTGATGCTTCCAACCTAGCTTTTCCGTTGTTGGAGGCATCTTCTTTCATGTATGAATGGCTCTTGTCGAGTCCTCACTTGTATAATCAGCGTTGTATTCTTCAGGTCAATGTGTCGCTGTGCCCGCTGGGATGAGAGCCAGTGTCGGAGATCCTTTGGCTGCTTCCGTTTCGCTGTGATCCAGAGTCTTAAATCATCCTCTTGGTCCCGTTGATCGCTTCTTGCTGTCGGTGAGTTCTTACATCTGACTTTGAACATCTTGCATCTTGTATATTCGTTGTGGTGGCACCTTCTGCACCTTGCACTTTCAGGGTTTTCTTGCATCTTGTTTGTTCGTTTTCTGGTATTGGTGGTGATAAACATGTGAAGGTTATTTTGTCTATTTGACTGTTGCAGGTAATGCTGTGTTTCAAGGCTGCCTCCGCCTGGATGCTGAAGAATGGGGACGTCACACTGGCTGAATTCGTGGTTGGTTTCACAAACCGGAAGTTCATGCTGTGCTGTTTCTGCTGAAGTATGCTGTTGAGCCGGCGCTACGTTTGAAGGTGAGTAAGGTTCGTCCAAAGTGAGAAGCTCTTCTATTTCTTGAATTACTTTTGCTTCGTCCATTTGTAGTGATTCGAGTGACTGGTTGATTGGGTGGTTGTGGTTGCTTCTGTCAGTGATTTCTTGTGTAATTTCTTCTCGTTCTGACTCTGTTAAGTACAAGTCCAGTACATGTGCATAATAGGACTTTATCTTCCGTTCCGCGTCTTCGCCCGGTTCTTCATGACTTCCTTCATTCAAATGCTTGTCTGTGTTTTCTAGCTTGCACTTTTCTTGTTCAAATTGCTCTCTGCTGGACTCCTCCTGTTGTTTCAAAATTTGCATTTCCAATGAGTTTGTTCCTGCAGCGTATAGTCTTCTCCTCCCTTCTTTTTGAAACAGTTCGGGCGCATGTATTAATTTGTAGTGAGTACAACCTTGATGTTTCTGTTGCAGTGTCCGTATTTCTTGGGTGATGATTCGTTCGAGGAAAAATTCTTGATACGCAGTTCGATGTGGAGCCAGGTTTTCGGTAAGTTCTTGTGATTTTTTCCCTTTTATAGTTAAGTGTGTCGACTTCCTCTTTTGCTGGTGCGTACAAACTGCATCCCGGGGGGGCATTTTCACCAATGATTGATAGGGCCCTTGTCTGGGTTTCGATGTTGGACTGGGAAACTAATCAATGTTCTTGTTGCAACAGGTTTGGGTTTCTTGCACTGCTGCGTCGACGGAGTTCGTCGCCTTCGGAAGACTAGGAGTACTGGAAGGAGATCTACCTAAATTTTATGAGCATGAGCGAGCAAGCAATCCATTCTGTGAAGGCCTGAGACTAGGACGTTTGCCAAACTCCTTGCGGTGCTTCCTGTCTATGTGCCGCTCTATTTATCTACCTGCCTTGACTTTTCACCAAAGTACGTAAGTTGCCATTTGAATGTATGAACGTGAGAAAAGTGAGACAAGTTTGACTAATTCATTTAATATTGTTGCAGAGTTGTTACTAGCCAGGGGAAGGCCTTCGGCCTCGATGCTGAGCTGGATTCTGCTGGAGATGGAAATGCATTTTTATCAGTAGTAAATTTGGATGTGTTTATTTTGAAAAAGAGCCTCTTTTTTTTTCGGGGGGGGGGGGGGGGGATAGCCAGGAAGTATGCTTTTGCGCGAAGGATTGTGATTCCGCAATGGTTGGTTTCTCCTTTAATCGACGGAAGGCTATTTTAAAAATCTAAAACTAAATGTTCAGACCAATCCTAAAAACCTAACGGGCTCGTGACAGATCTTACTCTACCCGTGACAGATCTTACTCTACTCTCGACAGACCTTATTCTCAAACTAAAAAGGTCCAACCAATCCTAACCTAACCCAACGGGCTCGTGACAGACCTTTTCTACTCGTGACAGATCTTTCCCTACTCTCGACCGATCTTATTCTCAAACTAAATGTTTCCCAAACCCAAACCTAACCTAACCTAACGGCACGGGACAGATCTTACTCTACTCGTGACAGATCTTACCCTACTCTCGACAGATCTTATTCTAAACTAAATGGTCCAACCAATCCCCCTAACCTAACGGGCTCGTGACAGATTTTTTCTCTACTCGTGACAGATCTTTCCCCACTCTCGACCGATCTTATTCTCAAACAAAAGTTCCAACCAATCCTAACCTAACCTAACGGGCACGTCACAGATCTTACTCTACTCGAAAAGATCTTACCCTACTCTCGACAGATCTTTTTCTCAAACTAAATGGCAGCTTGGCGTACGACTATGGAGCTTGGACTAGAGCTTGGACTATTGAGCTTGGACTATTGAGCTTGGAATTTGAGCTTTGGGCTATAGAATATGGACTATGGAGCTTAGACTATGGAGCTTGGGCTATGGAGCTTGGACTTTTGAGCTTGGACTATAGAGCTTGGACTATGGAGCTTCGACTATGTATACGCATATGAATATAGTAAAAAAAACAGAGGAAGATACCCTTGTAAACTAAAGGTATCGGGGGGGGGGGTCGGACAAATGAGCTATTCAAAATCCCAAACAGGGTGCTTCGCTTCGCTCAGCAATGAGGTCGACGTTGTTTGCCAGAATGTTCAACAGACTTTTACCCTGGACGGGTCAACCTATTGAAAGACAAGCCGCCGTGGATATTGGGTAAGAACAACATGAAGTTATTTGCTTGGCTTTGAATGTTTCTGTGTGTGTGCTTTCGGCAATAAAGCTGACTTGGAATTTGTTTTTGATGCTGTGGAGTAATCATCTCTACGCAATTTGTTCAGCAACTGTGACAGTACTAACGTGGGCATTATTAACGTGGAATCTGTTGTTGTTTGCAGTGTAATGACAAAACCCTAGAAACGTTTTGTTTACGTTGGACTGGAACTCTTTTGTGGACCTGGAACTATTCTTCAGTCTGGGTGGCAAACGGAGAAGTGAATTTCCCTTTGGGCTAATTGAACGAACAACGGGCCTTTTTTGAGCCTTTAGAACTGATGTGAACACATCTCGAATGGTCAATCTTCACCTGAAGTAGAACTGATGAGGTAAGCTGTTGCGTCTTTAGCTTATGCTTTAGTGCACCCTTTTAGATTGGGGGCTGCAAGGCGTCTCTGAACGCCTGCTTTTATGCATCTTAAGTTAACGCCTTTTGTATGCACAACAGTAAATTTATAATAATTGTACTAGAATAATATTTTTTTTAAAAATTATTTTACTATAATATGCCCGTTGGATTTTTAAAAATTTTGAACCACTGCATGGCTGCGTGATCTGATTTTTTTGGGAAGGGCAGTCTTGCTTGGCAATGATTGAAAGCTTTAACTGATTCTACCAAAGCTTATAATTCCGCATGAGTCACTCAATAATTGTTTTGTGCCGGTGTTAATGTTTTTTGCTAGTGTGAATGTTTTTGACCGCTATGGGTGACTTACTAGGCCTGGTTGCTTTAATTTTTAAGTATTTCATCGTTGTCTGACAAACCTTTTATTGTAATTGCAGGGGTACTGAACGTGCATTCTGTTTGATGAGTGGATGATTTCCTTTTCCCCCCTAAATCTCATCCATGGATATCGACCAAATGTGAAGACATCGTGATGTTTGCGAATGAGCTTTTCTACCTCCTCCGTCTGTTCTGGTGGCAAAGCAGTAGCTTTGATCTTGGCATCCAAGTCTACAGGTAATGGCATTTTGCATTGGAATTAGTGGTTTGTATGGAAATTCAACTTTTGCACCGTGTAATTTTTGGGTTCATATTCAGTTAAATTTAGGTGTTTGTCCTTGGCTATTGGATTGCTCTGCACCGACATTTTTAAATTTTTTACAAGACTCTTACCTACTCTCCTCGTTTTACTTATCCTCGTAATTTTGGGTTTTGCAACAAGGCCATCACACTGTGGGGATGGAGTGGTAGGACGTATGCTATTACTGTAAAGTTGAGAATTTGGACACAATGGTCTGCAAGGTTTAATAGTGATACATGCCTGTCACACACGGTACAACGCCTGTCTGTGTGACTTACCTTTCAGATATTTGACTTCAAATTTTTTAAACAACTTTAAATGTTTAAATGTTAGCAAACCAACATGCATCTTGCCTTCTGCTCTTTCGGGTGGTTGGATTCCCATTGTCTGTTCACTTTCATGTGCGTTGCCCGCACCCATTTCACAATCTTTTTACTCGTTCTTTACACACCACTCACTAACATACAAAACTCTATGTGAAGAGAACGAGTATTGTGTTCAAAAATGAGTTTTGGGGGGACATCTTTCATCTCAGATCTGACAGCATGTGGGAAAATGAGAGTGGTATCAAATGAAAGATGGAGTGTCAGTCGCTAGATCGTAAATGAACTTTTTTTTTGCTTGCAATGAGAAATACTGAGAAAATGAACATGAAAGAGAGACGTTTTTAGTGCATTATGTGAAACTAACCTCTTTTCAAGTGTTTGTATCTTTTGATATAAAACGCCACTGGAACGCAAACAACAACGACAACGACCAGAGATCTTTGGCCGACAAAAAACTAGGAGGGTATTTTCCAAGTGACAATGGATAATTTTCAGAAATTTGGTCATAAAGAAACATCGTTTCACGCTAATCGTGATATATGTCTCAGAACTGCTAGTGGTTTCTTCCAGAGATAAATGCTTACTATACAGAGATGTGCGGCTGCTATGCTGGGACTCGTCCTATGTCTGTTAGAGCCTGTGATTGGCCGGCGGAGGGGAGCGCCCTGATTGGCTGCCGCTCCCCCCACCCTTCCAAATAGTAGTTTGCGCCAACGGTCGGAAATTCAAACGAGGTACGCCAACAGATATCGTTATTATGATTGTAATTTCATTAAAAGTGCGGTGTTTGTACTTAAATAATTGTTCTTTGTGTTCCGGTGAACATTTTAAGCCATCCGGATGTGTGTTAAAAGAGATGGGGTGATTATTCTCATGCAAAATGCGGCGTCGGTCAGGCGTCCTTTGCAGGTGCCTGTTTTGCGATTGATTTGCTTGGCACAAAGTCTCTCGAGCAATTCCAGAGGCTGTTGAATAGTGAAATCATAATTGTGACAGTGCTTTTGTGCGTGCACCGTGGTCTGAAACGTCAATTTTAATCGCTTAGTTGCGTGCCGAGTGAAGGCTATGACAGGCGTCCCTAACCTGCAGCCTGGTCTCATTTGCTGTTGATTTTAAGACTTTTTGGGTACTTTTTGAAGTGATGTCAGGCGATTTTATTCGCACCGAAGGTCGCTTCGTTGCTTTTGTGTGCGTACGGTTGCCATACGTTCCTGTTCAAACTCATAAATTGAGTCTCAAACTGATGTCAGGCTGAGGCTGTATAGGGGGACTCGGCCCATCACTGGGCGTCCTTTGCTGTTGATTAATAGACAATTGGCTTGGGTCAGGGTCGATGTGAAGTGTTCTTATGGTCTTTGAGGGTATTTTTGTTGCTTTTGTGTGCACTGGGTTACTCTACAAACTGATCGACAAGAGTAAATTGCTGTCGCAAATTGGGTGCTATGTTACTGCCTATTGCAGTTTCCGATCGTATTGGCTCCTTTGCCTTGGTGGCATTTACTGGAGGTCACACGTTAGGGCAACGTTGCTCAGAAACTTCACCACGATGGGCTTTGTGATTGTTTGTATGTGTCTCAGTCGTCTGATGAATTTTAACTATGTTACAGCAGGTGTCGCCTTGTCCATTTCGAATCGCTTTCCTGCCGCTTTCTCCAGATCCTAGTGCAGTGCAGATGTCCAAATGCTGTCAGCGCTGTCATCCCTGAGATCATTTGGACATTTGGATTGCGCCTGGACACGCTGCAAAGGATGGATGCCTCCTGTCCCTGTACCACCCAAGCGGAGAATTTTAAATTCTGTGCTCTGCTTTGCTCTGCTTGCATAGATGATGAATAAATAAATCTTAAAATAAATGAATCATTTTGTGTAGTCACGCTAATTTATGCTGCCTTTCCAAACCTTGATACATGCATTATTTGGCCCTCATCCGTAGTTTGCCACCCCCAACAGCCCTGCCCCCTGGCCTATTGCTGCTGATTCGACTGCATCGTCGCATCTCTCTCTTTCCCCTGTTTGTCTCTGGTTAGGCATCCCAACCAGCCCCAAGACATTGCCTCGATTCTATTCTGTGTCCTGTCTCCCTGACGCAGTCACTGCAAGCACCTTTCTCCAAGGAATTTCTTCCACAACTTTTTGCCCCAGACTCAGTCTGTTAGGCACTTATTAGTTATAATTCTGTAATGATCCTGATCCCTGTGGGTCCCTCCTCCCAACAGGTGCTGAGAACTACACGGCCCTGCCCATCTCCCCCTTCTCGGGAATTCCCTGGTACATATAGTGAGGGTCCCCCTCCCTTCTGTGGTACGTAAAAGGCTCTTATCTCCTACTTTTTATCAGTAATACGCAGGTGTACTGCAAACTCAAAGGGGTAAGGCTGATCACTCCTCTGTTCCAATCCTCATTAGGGAGCACTCAATGTAGGGAAAAGATGAAAAACAATCTCTGCAAAAATAAAGGAATTCAATGTATTCTGACAAAGCCAACTAAAGCAGTTGGAAATGCTCATTTAAATTTTTTTTTAAAAAAGGAATGTCATGTCACACTTATTATCCCTGCAGTAAACTATTCAATAAAGAAAATAATTCAGAGGAACCTGAGCTAAGCTATAACTGGCTGCTGCCACCCTGTACGTAGTGTCTTACAACTACACCTGTTTCTCCTTATAAATTATTACTCATGACCTTCCTTATTGTTGTAAATTAGTCCTGATGCCCTGCCCTTTATTTTATACTGTCACAAGCTACAATAATACAAAAAGATCTGAACTGAAATTTATTCAACTTGATTGGAGCAGATGGCACAAGTACTTTCATTACCGAGGTGAGTCCAGGGGCCTGCCCCTGCTGTATTTCTCAGCAAGTTACTAGCCCTACAATTATTTCAGACAAATAAAACAACGTGAAAAATATATTTAAAAAAACAGGCTTTTAATATGAATTTTCAAAAATTTGAGTCACATAGATTAGGCAATGAAAAAACATGAATAAAAATAAATTAAGCTATTTAGACTGGCTATGTATAAACATGAGTTAAAATTAAATTCCACCCCAAACTGCAGTCCATGGGCTGGGAGAACCGTCTTAACAAGTGGCTCACAATATGGCACAGACTAAGGCAACAAGTAATAGTAATTTAACAATAAATAGACACAGATTAAGATAAATTAAGATATTTAGACTGGCCGGTACACTCAGTCAGTTCATGTGTTTTCAAAACCAAGAGCATGCCGCTTGGTTTTCTTTTAAGCTAATAAGTCAGGCACAAATAATTTTTCAATTCAAGAAGTAGAATATTTAACATATAAAGGCAAGATGACTACAAAAATACCTTGGGCCAATGACTGAAGCTTGGCCTAAAACAATGTAAATGTGTCCATAAATCTAAATCAGCATTTACCATGCACGCAGCAGTAATAATGTAGAAAATCATTATTTCCCTTACAGCACAAACATGGACCACTCTGACCTCTCTTCAGGCAGTTCATCTGAATCATGTGAAGAAAATGGTAAATGTTGCTTAATGTACTTTCTCCATTATATTTTTGGTGGCGCTTACTAAAATGTATGATTAAACAGATTGCAACGAAATTCCTCTGTCAAGTATCTACACCCTGGTAGATGATGAAGGTGCAGACGAAGACGATCCTGGACTGGTGTACGACACGGGAGATTATTACGACAATGAGCAACAACCTTGCCCAGGATGTGGAGCCCAGTTCAAAGGGAAGACTGAAAAAGGGAGAACTGGTTGGCTTACGCGTCACATCAGACTGCACAATGTTCAAGGTAGGGTATTTGTATAACAGTTCTTAACAAACAAGCCGGATTTTCATTATTGACATGTGGCTTTCCTCTTTTGATCCAGCTCGTCGCAAGTCCCTCTGCTCACCAGCACAGATTGTTGCAGCAGCCTCAGAGTTGGGAGCTGCTACTCTGAATGAATTGCTGGGAAAAGAGGGAAGTGGAGCAGCCCTTGCACAACTGAAAAGAGTGTCCTCTGCACTGAAGGCATGCAATGGCACGCCACTTTTTCAGCACTGTGTTGAGCAAATTGCAGAAGTCATCAATGCTGCTGATGCACCAATTTTTCTCTCAGAGGAAAGGAAGGAAACAATTGCTCCCTTGCACAGACTTCTGAACAATCTCGACTTTCGACAACAGTGTACTGAAATTATTCATACTCTGACTGGGCTTGGAGAGGGCACATCTCAATTCCTGTCCTCTTTTCTGATGTGCCTGAAAGATAAGGTGATTCTTTACCGTCTATCAAAGATGAGGGAGAGAACACTTCAACCAACCATGGCACACGCAGAAGACCGGAAAGAAAATGTGCTGTACGTTTCTGGATGGGCACTATGGAAGACAAAGCGTAGATGCTGGAGGAACATCAAAAAAAATCAAAACAGTGCCATTTTCCACTGCATTAAAGATACATTCTCTGAAAATGGTGCCAATGCAGAAAAAATCTCTGATAAGAAGGTTAGATCTTGGATAGATCGTAAAAACAGAGGAGAAGTGAAAAATGGCAGAAGAGTGAATGGGCTGACCGTACCAAGTGACGGGGCATTCAAGTTCTTCTGCCGCCTCGATGCCCATGTTGAAGCCTTTGAAAGTAGAGACGGTCTACGGTCCAAACTAAGCCTTGATGCCCTTTTATCAAAGGTTTATGATGATGTTCATCTCTTAGACCTTTGGAACAGTCTGGTCAGAGGCATGGAGGAGACACATCAACAGGCCTTCCTGGAATATCTGGTAAATCTATACAGAAAATTAATTGGAAACGCAGTGGCGAAGAGGATCGTGCGAGGGCTCTTCAAGAGGACAACTGTTGCCACTAGGACGAATCTCAAGAAAAATCCTTCAACAAAAGAAAAGAAAACTGGCAGAAAAAACTCCAATAGAAATAAGAAGAGATAAGGGTTGAGGCCTCAGAATAATTTTATTAGGATTTAACAGTGTCAAATGTCTTCTTCCTCCATAGATAGTTCAGTCTTAAGACTAAAAATTTTAAATACCTACGTATACTGAATAACAATATGTACTTTAACACAACATTAAAACGATTTTACTCCTATAATCTTGAATATTTATGTTTCCCTTCCTACCTATACTGTAAGTACTGTAAATATACCATTGCTGTGTATATACCACAGATTTATTTACACGACCCTACCCTACCCAGAATTCCACGCTGGCTGCCGGCACCGGCATGTTTGGAGTATCTAGGAGACAAACTGGAGGACGGTAATGATAATTTCTAACGACAAGTGAACAGTCGGAACATAGATAACAGACTTAAATTAAATAACTGTGAATTATGCTAATGCTAACATTTGGGTAACTATTTCGGTATTAGAGTAACATACAACTTTTCATGTTAACAATGAGTTCATGTAGACATTATCTACAATACAGGATTGCTTTCCTTCCTTGCAGACTCTCACAATGAGGCTGAAACAAAAAAAAATTGGAATGTCAATTTGTTTGATGAAACAAAAAGGTACTTCATTTTTTAACATTGAGGGATAATCACACACCTGGCCCTAATTTCTAAGCGTTTTTGGGAGTTTGCGCCTTGGCATTGGGGTTTCGTCGATCTCAATGTTGGCCTGCCTCTTCCGATATGTATTTCCCTTGAACAAGGTCTGTCTAATTTCTCCCATCTTCATAATCTTAGTATCGTTGTGGAGAGCTTGTTTCAAGGTTGGGTTATTGTTCAGTTTACCTCTCTCCCGCTGCGCTTCAAAATACTGTTCTAGATCGTCCTGACACACGAGATCTCTAGAATTTAGGAAGTCAATACCCACTTCTGGTGACAAGAGGTATTTGACAACCTCCACAAAACTGTGCACTGTGATGTAGATACCCTCATATGTCTCTTGTGTCAAAGTCATTGCTTTTCTTTGCATAGCAGTATATCTTCCGGGCCTTGTCTGTACTTCTTGCCTCCAATCTTGAAGATAACCCAAGAACTCATCCTGTAGAAAATTCAGCCTTGGATCATCTGCATCCGTATATGGGTTCCTGTCTGGCTTCAGGTGGTGGCGGCCCTCAGTGGTGCTGTGACCGTTTAGGCAATCGAAGAACCGGTCTACCAGACGGATGAACTTCACAGTCTCCTTGAGATTGTCAGGCCCATGGATATCTTCAAGGTTGTTGGCCACAGTCTCACTCATCACTTGTGCTGCAGGAAAAACCTTCATCTTGTTGAAATTGTTTAACTCAACATGGTTCTGAGTGAGCTTGCAAGACTTCCTCAAGGTCTGATCTTTATACTTGTAATACAGTTGTTTTATGTACATCCAGCTGATACTTTCTCCATTTTTCCACAGGTTATCATTTGCAAAGATATTTCGGATACATTTCAACAAGTGAGGCACATCAGATATGAAGAAAAGTTTTCTTTTACCATCAGGAGAGAAAATGTTAACTGTGCAGTAGACGATTTCTCCATCTTTCTGATGGAACTGGAAAAAGGCTCTGTTTGTGCGAGCTCCATCACAAACAATGATCAAGACAGGCATATCTTCCAGCTCCAGTGCCTCAACGACTGACCAGGTACGGTCGTAAATCTGGGGACCTGTGGCACTCTTCACACTGAACATTCCAACGACCATTTTAAAACTTCTTGGCCCAGCAAGGCACTTTGCCATGAACACAAGAATTTTCTTGGCTGGTGTGGGTTTGTAGGAGGAGCTGTCACTGTCCAGTCGCTCAATCTCCTCTTCAATTGATTTCAAATTGATGAAGCCAAGCAAGCGCCCTGTTCTAGTGCAGAAGACGACGTCTTCTCTGATAGAGATTTCATCATGGAGTACACAAAAGAATTTTCTCTTTGCCGGTAAGTCCTGTCAACAAAGAACATAAACATGATGTAGGAAAGGATTCCTATATTGTGAGGTGCATTTCAGTTTAATAATCTCACCTTTACTCTGTCTTTTAAGGTGGCAATGTTGTGGTGCCTGATGCCTTCTTCCTCAGGATACAAATCAGTATAGTCCCTCAGTGTTGTCTTGCAAGGCAAGCGAATCACTTTGGTACTTCTCCAAGTCTCATATGAACCTGGAGACTTCCCTTCCAAGTATATGGCTAACCTAATCATCATGGGATTCCACTTCATCCCAGATGGTCCCTTGCAGGATAGGGCTTTGACCTGCTCTCTCCAGAACAAAGCCTGTAGTGGTGTCAGCTTATCCGAATGGGCCTCCATGATTTTCCTAAAAGTACCATCCAGATCTTTCAGGTCAACTCCATTTTCCTCCAAATTTTTCATTCGTACTTCTATGGCACCATTGGCTCTAGTAAGACTCCTTATACGTATACTCTGTGATAGTAACTTTTCTGATTTTTCTTGGCTCGTCATGTGTTTCACAGGTTTCTTCTCAGGGTGTGCTGGTGGATTTTTCTCCCGCTTGTTGGCCCTACTGTGAGAGGCCTGCAGGTTTCCTCTTAGTTGACAGCAACGTGGGCATGGACCTCCAAAATTTCCCAACAGTAGACAAGTTGCAGATCTCAGAGCTCCATCATGGTCAACAGTGGCCTCAGGGTATTTTGACCACAGGTAAGAGTATTTTTGGTTGCTAAAGCCTGGACACAGTTTGGCTTCATTCAGAGCACAGCATACCTTCCCAAGCGACAGTCCTTGGACATCTTGCAGGAATGAGTGCCCCTCATTGATCTTCCGCCCATGGATCTCCACAGAGAGCACACCATTCTGAAGTGTTGCACGACGAAGAGGTTTTAGGTTCTCATCGACGAGAGCAGCAACAATTCTGCCTTGGAACTCTCTGTGGATCCATTGCAAGGGAAGGCCCTCCAAACAAGTTGAAAAATCCTGCAGAAGCACATTTAGGTAAATTTATCAATTTATGAAGAGAAAATTATTTATTAGTGGTATATGTGTGTGTCAATTACCTTTCTGGGCTGGGCCTGAAGAGTTGGTATATTCGGTCGGTTTGTCACATTCAGTACTTTAGGGGGCTTTGGGCATAGAGGCCTCAAGACTGTCGGCCTAACTCCCAGTGTCTTAGTTGGGTTGGAATTTTGTTTGGGGAAATTTCTCTTAATTTCTCCACCTGAGGTAACCTGTTAACAGAATATATTGGTAAGAATTGTGAATTTTTCTAGTTATATTATTTTAAGGAAGACATAGCGACCATACCTGATGTTCTGGCAACTCTGTTAAGGCGGATAATACAGGTTGTTTGGGCAACAGAACCCTCTTCAATCCCAAAGTCTGAAATAGTTAGAAATATTTTATTTTTTTTTTACCAAGAAATTATATTATAATTATCTAGATGTAATAAGTAAAGAGAAACATCTTGACCACATTAAATTTAAATGACGTGAAGGGTCACCTTGGTTTGAGGTTTAAGGATTGGATTCCGAACTCCTACATCCAGAGGAACTGCTGCAGAATGAACCTCTATTGGGGTGGTTGGCGGAGGTTTATTCATTAAGGTCTCACTATCATAAGTATGTGCACCTCTGGAAGCTGTGAAAATGGAAAGTTGCATCAATTCACAGTGCTTGATTGATTAAAAGAAATTAATTTACAAGATAAGAATGTAATTCTAATGTTCACATGTAATAATTTTTATCAAGGATTGATAGTAATGATATTAATGCTTGCCTGTTTCTTTTTCCTCCATGTGACATTTAGAAGTGGAGTTCTGTGGTGGACAAATCAACGGCATGGGTGTTGATGTTACCATGGGGGCCTCCTTCAACAAACCTTGCTCTACGACAGGAGACTGCATGAACCTTCCAGAGTTGGAAAGAGCACATTCACCACTGAAGGAAGGGATCTGGACAGAATATACAGGTGAGAATTCTAAACATTGCTATGGTAATGTAAGTATTTTAAGACAGTCACAGTGACCATACCTGATGGTGTGAAAATTCGGTGTTTGTTATGCTGGACATGGTCATAAGGGTCTGATCAGATGTGCAGACTCCTCTAAAAGCTGTGCAAATGGAACATTGTATTAATTCACAGTACTTGATTCAAAGAACTAATTTATTACTTCCTTTCAAAAAAAGTTACCTGGGATTCCATCATGAGCAACAGAGTCATAGTGATCTGGATAGAGGGTTGTTGCACTGAATCTCCTGTGTGATATGTGCAGTGTCTTTGCAGGTTCAGCTTGTCTTGGGACCACTCTAATCTTTGTGGAGTTTTCTACATGAATCTCTACTGCCACCTCAAAGACCTCTGCTACAGCCATGATACATTCATGGCCACCCCATATTTGGCCAGAGAGCCTCAAGTCGTCCAAGTACTTTATGATCTTCTGCAGGGATGAGAGAAATCCCTCTTCCTGCCTTTGTTCCAAATCAAAAAGATTTTGAATGTTCTCAGGCAATTCTTCATAAGTGGTATTGTATCTAGCTCCCCAATATTCCACTTCACCTCTCAGAGATTCGTAAAATACTGGCAAGTTTTTTAACAGGTAGTGGGATACGGTTGAGCGTAGGATCATTGCTGCCTCAACATGTTTTGTGGAATTGATGTCGTATCCAAACAATTGGTGACTCATAGCCAAAAAGAGGCAGTTGCCTTTTGAAGGCACACTGAATACGGCCACGTCCCCCTCATTGGTTTTCACCAGGAGCTTGGAAGGGTTTGTGACACTGATTGAGACTGACGACAAGGTCGTAGTCATGGGATCTGGAATTTAAAAAAAAATTAAAGCGTAAGATAAGAATGTAACTCTAACGTTCACATGTAATCATTTTTATCAAGGATTGATAGTAATTATATTAATGCTTGCCTGTTTCTTGTTCCTCCATGTGACACTTAGAAGTGGAGTTCTGTGGTGGACAAATCAACGGCGTGGGTGTTGATGTTGCCATGGGGGCCTCCTTCAACAAACCTTGCTCTACGACAGGAGACTGCATGAACCTTCCAGAGTTGGAAAGAGCACATTCACCACTGAAGGAAGGGATCTGGACAGAATATACAGGTGAGAATTCTAAACATTGCTATGGTAATGTAAGTGTGTTAAGACAGTCACAGTGACCATACCTGATGTTCTGGCAACTCTGTTAAGGCGGATAATACAGGTTGTTTGGGCAACAGAACCCTCTTCAATCCCAAAGTCTGAAATAGTTAGAAATATTTTATTTTTTTACCAAGAAATAATATTATAATTATCTAGATGTAATAAGTAAGGAAAAACATCTTGACCACATTAAATTTAAATGAAGCGTAGGGTCACCTTGGTTTGAGGTTTGAGGAATGGAGTCCAAAGTCCTACATCCAGAGGAACTGCTGCAGAATGAACCTCTTTTGGGGTGGTTGGCGGAGGTTTATTCATTAAGGTCTCACTATCATAAGTATGTGCACCTCTGGAAGCTGTGAAAATGGAAAGTTGCATCAATTCACAGTGCTTGATTGATTAAAAGAAATTAATTTACAAGATAAGAATGTAATTCTGATGTTCACATGTAATAATTTTTATCAAGGATTGATAGTAATTATATTAATGCTTGCCTGTTTCTTGTTCCTCCATGTGACATTTAGAAGTGGAGTTCTGTGGTGGACAAATCAACGGCGTGGGTGTTGATGTTGCCATGGGGGCCTCCTTCAACAAACCTTGCTCTACGACAGGAGACTGCATTAACCTTCCAGAGTTGGAAAGAGCACATTCACCACTGAAGGAAGGGATCTGGACAGAATATACAGGTGAGAATTCTAAACATTGCTATGGTAATGTAAGTATTTTAAGACAGTCACAGTGACCATACCTGATGGTGTGAAAATTCGGTGTTTGTTATGCTGGACATTGTCATTTCCAATGGGTTCCCAGTGGCACTTGGCCCCGAAGAATCACAAACAACATCTGCATCAGCATCTGCACTGGCTGATGAAGGCATAGGTACAGGTGGTTTGGGAAGAAGCACCCTCTTCAGTCCCAAAGTCTGAAATAGTCATAAATTTTAATTTATATTCAAATGGTACACTGAAACATGAAAGTGTCTTTATGGTCACCTTCGCTGCAGAGGCATCAGGTTCACTTAAAGTGGAGGACACTCCTGCGGTTGGCAAACAGAGTTCGATTGCATCGGAAAGAAGGTTGGGCGCAAGGGTTTCTGCAAGTGATTCATTAGTCTCTGTCATTAAAAATCATAGAGTTGATAATGAAAAATAATTTTGAAATTAAATGCACTGGATCATGTCCTTAAATAATGATAATAATGCTTGCCTGTTTCTTGTTGCTCTTCCAGATGACTTGTAGAAGTGGAGTTCTGCCTAGGAAAAACCGACGATGTTGGCATCGGTGTTGATGTCAACAAGTGCGTCCAAGACACATCTCTGGCAGAAAAATCTGTGCTCTTTTCTGATGAACTGAGGTCTGTCTGAGGAACCATCAGGAGCACCTCCACATTGCCTGGTTCTGAATGAGGGAGCCTCTTGGAAGCTCTGGAGTTGCATGGTGTATCACCACTAGAGGAGGGGAACTGCACAGAATATACTGGTAAGAATTTTGAAGGTTTTTGTATTGAGTGTCTTAAGGTAGAAATAGCAAGCATACCTGTTGGGGGAACTGTGGTGTAGGAGTCAATTGGAGTGGTGACTCTGTTTTGTCCTGAATGGGATGTGTTGTGGTGGACATTTTCTGAACCAACACATTCGCAGAGGCAGCTGCCCCCACAGAGGCATCAGGTTCACTTGCATGGGAAGGAAGGTTGGGCCCCAGGGTTTCTGCAAGTGACTCATTATTCTCTGTCAGGGAAAATCGTGTACAGTTTATAAAGGAAAAAAATTTGGACATTAAATTCACTGGATCATCTTATTAATACCTATGGTGCTCTGAGTGGGAGATGAAGTCTTATGAATCCATGCCCCATGTTTTTTGAATCCTCTCCGATTCTCTACCTTTCTTATCCTTCCAATTCGTTTTTTTCGGGTTTTGCAGTGTTTGTTCTGTAAGTTAGATCATTTTGTCACCAAATGGCATGCATATTCGCACCTTGCAGCATTAGGCATTATTGCAATTTTAAACCTACCCTCTTCTTTGGACTTCTTGGACTCATTGCGACCCTTTTCTTTGGGCTCATTATTTACCACAATTCAAGGTACCTGACGAGTACAAAAGAACATGTCAATGATTTGGGTTCGTTTACAAAGGCATTTAATCATTCTTTCCCTTCCACATTTGTAAAGTAAAATAGTTTGTTTTATGGGAATTAAAATTTTTTCCATGGGTGAAAAAATTAAGAGTACATACCACACAATTTGTGCGGTTCCCTTGGTTTCTGCTCATGCAAGCCTATGACACTGATATTTATTAACTTATGATTTTATCATCAAAATTATATATACAATGTTGTACTAGCTGGGTCTGGTCTTGCAAAGCAATTTGAGTATAATATCACTCTCAATTAATGCATTTTTCTCCATAGTGATTCTTGCTGTTAAGTTTCGTTGTTTTAATATGGTATGCTCTATTTTCTCTTGTTGCAGATATTTGTGCTTCTATGCGTATATGAAGTAAAATACCCCTTCTATTCAACCCGTGAAAAGATTTTCTGTGTCATATCAGTTTTAGGATAAACAAAAACTAGAGCACTTCTTCATCATTGGCAGCATCTCTGGTGACCAGCACAACCAAAGTGTTGATTCAGATGAACTGCCTGAAGAGAGGTCAGAGTGGTCCATGTTTCTGCTGTAAGGGAAATTATGATTTTCTACCCTGATTTAGTTTTATAGAGACTGTTTTACATTGTTATAGACCAAGCTTCAGTTGTTGGCCCAAGGTATTTTTGTAGTCATCTTGCCTTTATATGTTAAATATTCTAATTCTTGAATTGAAAAATTATTTGTGCCTGACAATTATCTTAAAAGAAGATCAAGCGGCATGCTCTTGGTTTTGAAAACACAACAGTCTAAATAGCGTAATTTATTTTAATCCATGTTTATTTATTGCCTAGTCTATGTGGCTAAAATTTTTGACATTCCAAGCACATGTAATGTGGCATTATGAGGCTGCTTTCAGCAATTTGATGTGTTCAAAGTAAAAGCAAAGCTCTATTACTTGTTGCCTAAGTCTGTGCTATATTGTGAGCCACTCGTTGAGAGGGTTCTCCCAGTCCATGGACTGCAGTTTGGGGTGGAATTTAATTTTAACTCATGTTTATACATGGCCAGTCCAAATAGCTTAATTTATTTTT